AATTCTTACGATCATCTTTCCAAAGAAAAAAGCCTGTTTCCAATAAGTTTCCCTAAGCGACTAGTGACTAGGATAAACTTTGCTTAAGCTTAAGCTACATTCGCTTTGCAGCAATGACATAAATAACAGTCTTAACTCACCCCTCTTTTTCCCTTCCTCTTTCTCACTGATCCTAAAACAGTTGAATTGTGAAGAACCCTGGAACGCCTTCTTCGCCCTCGAGTCCTCGTGATCTGAAAAATGTGCATTTTCAGCAAGTTTTGTAAGGGAGTGTACTGATGTTAGTTAGTTACGTTGCTGGAGAACGTGCGGAGTTAACTGTACATAAGAAAAGTGTTGTTGCACAGGAAATAAATAAAGGAAGTGGAACTGAAATCTCGTCGTGCGCAATTTATTTATGACAGAAATTATAAACGAATTGGGTTACAGCCACGCGGTCATGCACCTAGCAGACTTTCGGTGAAGAAGTTAAGACCTCTATTACTCAAAAAGAGAAAAGTAAGGGTATTTTTATGGAAGAGTATCCGGAAAAATATCATTTCTTACTATTCCTCCGCATCCACAATTAAATCCACAACTGCGATGCCGAAGTATGCGCTCCCATAGGGTCTTGTTTTAAATAAAGTCAGTTATGTTCACCAGTTAGAAAAGGAACTTATGAAATCAAATAACAAATACTTAGCGGACTAGGAATGTAAATGGAAAAAGTTTCAGTTATACTGCCGTGGTACTGAGAATTAAAATGCATCTGTTCTTATTTTTGCAATAGTGGTAGTAGTACCTAAATTGTGTTGTATTGCATTAGTATTATATGTAGCTAGTGTCTTTTGTATATCTGCACTAGCTCTTTACTGCCCCCGCAGCGATTTCGCCCAGAAGGCGAAATCCCGAGGAGGCACTCTAGTAACTCGCGCGTATATTAAGGAAAGTACTTACAGTTGAAATATACAGTCATACAGTCAATATAGAAAAAATCTCGATTTGCTTGAACAGGGCCCGCGAGGAATCGGTAGGTAATGATGACGTTTCTATTGTTTGCGCCCGCAAGTACGAAATGGTTAGGATGACGTAAAGACAGAACATCTCCAAGGGACTGCTTAGGTAGATTTTGTGACATTTATTGTGCAGTCATACTTCGATACTCTTTTGCGTTACGTGTTATCAGTGACATTCTGTGGAGCAGTTGTTTCAGTGAAAGTTATAAGGACCAAAATTTTAACGACACTCGTTGAGCGCAGAAGAAGTTATGAGGTGCGTATAACTATGTATATGTAAACACTTGGAGAGTTTACCAGACACGAGTTCTCAAATCTTTCATTGGAAACTTTGCCAGACACTCTTTCTCTCTCTTTGACCGGAATAAGACTCAGCCCCAAACAAGCAAGACGAGTGAACAACGGCTAGCTTCTCACTAGCAGAACTATGTACGATTACAGAAATTCGCCGACAATCAAATTCCGTGCTGACTTATTCCCTGCTCACAGATGTCCTTCCGCTATAAAGTTTAAAGTAAGACTTTAAAACGTCCTTTTAATTTCTAAGGCTTCCTTTCCCGCAAATAAAATGAACTGAATGTAAAAAGTGAAAGAGAAATAGCAAAAAATTCAACTTCTAATTAAATCTTTTCTTACGGTTTAGAATGAACTATTCTCGAAACTGAGAATGTTTTGATCAAAACTGTGTAAATCGACCTGAAACTGTGCATGGAACCTTGCCTTTCCCGTATTTATCTCACCTATTGTATGGAATATGAGTGAAAGTCTTCCTCATGAATCGGTATATTTCAAAGAGCTACACAACGAGCAAGAATGCTATTGACCGACAATATACAGAGCGGGGGCAGCTGTAGTGTCAGGGGCACCCAACGTCAATTTTCGGAAAATATCTGTTCGGAGGACGATTTGAGATCTAGAATTTTCGGAACATTTGTTGTAAAATCTCTTCCTTGCCTGCCTCTCCTAGGATTTTCGAACATCAAAAAAATGGTATAATTGCCCATTTTTTACGGATTTTTACCCTAAAAAGGTCACCTAGAATTTTCGGGAGCCTTTTTACTGGTCGAAAATTTCGAAAAGGTAAGTTTTGATTCCTATAATTTTCGGATCACTAGACTTTCAGCTAGGAAATCCGAACAGATGAAAAATTTTTAGGGGACAAAAATATGCCTATATTTACCGTTTAATTACTAAAATACTTTTAACAATGCTATGTCTAAGTGGTTTTGAACTATATTCTCGTTGGGTGCCCATGTAGTGTCAACTATTACTAGTAGTATAGATGTGGTAATATACATGTCGTGTAAGTAGTTCGTAATCAGCCATTCATTAATAATTTTAAAAAAATGTGTAGAGCGGAATTCTAAAAGAGCGCTTTATGAAAAGATATAAGGCGTTAATTTCAGGGATGACAGATTTTGCTCATTTAAACGATTATACCTTGCTAGCAATCTTTAAATTGTAAAATCGGCTCTATACATGACACACTAGAGGGTTTGACTGATCATTTATTAATAAAATCTCAGAGTGCTATCTTCTATTCTTTGCGCAAACTTGGACACAAAAGCAGGATTTCCCAGTTTGGTGCAACGGTAGTTTAAAGTATTGCCGTTAGGCGCAATCTACCAAATAAAAAACAACCACCCTAAACTTCCATCATTCCACAATTTCTGTTTAAAGTTTTATCTAAATCGCTGCTAAAACAGCCGAGATATAAGCGTTTTAAAAGATGTAGCACAGGCAAAATTTTGCCTCATGAATTTATTAATAGATCGCGGCCTTAAACAATTTAATTATCAAAAGCATATTAATTATTCTTTATGCAAAAAGTAAAATATTGTCACCAAATTTTACCGACAAGAGGTTTCCAGTGACAGCATTAGAGATACTTAAGATAATAGTTCCACTTCATACGAGCGAATCTAGTAGCACACTCTTTTTAACAGACACATGGTAACAGTTACATAGTTTACAACAGCACAACCTTCCCAAACGTTCTTAACTTACCTCGCTTTCCTCCTCGCTCTCTGTTGTTGATTCTGAGCCAGAATCAGAAGGTGTCCGATCGGGAAACAGAAACGTGCTGATCTGCAGGAAGTAATAAAAACTAGTTGCATTTGGCTATACACTATAGCTTTTGAAATTTTTATGAAACATAAACCAGTAGCGAGAGGCATATACACTACGCTGCACACAACGAAAATAATTGCATAGCTTATCTCATGACATCATAACTTTGGAAGCGTTAAAAATATGCCAACAACCTTTCGATATTGCCGGATTGTGCCTCAATTTTGAAAACGTTGAAATAGTCTTCAAACTGACTAGGAGTAGTCCCTTCAGGCTCTCTCAAGATAAACTAGTAAGAGCAAGCGAATTACGTGGGCGCACGAGAATGTTACGACCTGTCTTTCCCTGTTTCACGAACAAATGAACATGGCCATTGAATGTAGCCCGTGAAATTCCACAATATAAGCATCATTTGATGGGGCTATCTTAACGTAGGATATAAAAGAACATTAACGATGTAGTTGTACAAAATGCATTGCATGACACAGCAAATTATTTGTTTCCCAAAGACTGGGTATCTCACTGCAGACGCCAATATTTTAGTACAATTATAGCAAAAATAACTAGAGAAAACAAGTTTTGTAAAAATAGTAGGAGATTTTAATTTGAATTTAAAGAATTGTCGCCCACACAATCTGATTGGCGAATTCCTGTTATTACCTTAATAACTCGCCCTACGAGAATAACATCCGGGTCAACTCTTGTTGAAAAGACATTTCGAAATTCCCTTAATTTGATCAGTGGACTGTTACTTACGGGCGTTTCAAACCGTTCGCCTAATTTTGTTATCCACTATGATCAAAAAGAATCCGCAAGTAAAGCGAACGCGAGAGGCCGGGTATAACATAAGATTTACATAAACTGAAAACAACTAATACCTCGTCTTTTAGAAAACTTGGGCCAGGCAAATCACTTTGGTCAAACAGATCATCGCTTAGATCCACGTATTCCGTCTTATTGACCGTCTCCTGTTGCCCACTTACAGCAGCCCTGTGCAGAGAACCTTTTGACGCCTGCAAAAGAAAACAAACATATATCAAGTTGATAAAAGCCAGTTTTGTCAGTCTGCAACCTTTTGGCCCCGTGAAACGGCCAACATAACCTACATTGTTGGATGTTACATGTTGCGTCCGTTTGCACACCCTGTTGCGTGCTATTGGGTGTTTTGGGGAGGTGCATCCGTTTGCATACCACTTCCAACACGGACGAAACAATTCCAAACATTTTTGACCCAACAATGTTGGGAGTTGTTGCGTCCCTTTGCACGCAGCTTTACGCTCACTTATTCACATTACTTTGTGCTACCGCAGAAACCCCTTCATTATAACTATGTACTCCCGGCGTCTCCCCAATCTCATCCTGGACCCACAGGATAAGAATAAGACATTGACAGGCAATACCCTATAACCAAACACAAAATCCTAAGCAAACAAAAGTGTTTTTGTCTTCATTCGAGCATTTTAACGATGTTTGTTTGTATTGAGGAAGAGTCTTCCAGGGCGTCCCACTGAAAAGAGGCGTCGAAGCTGTCTAAAGTAATATAAAGATGTTACAACTGACAATAAACCTGCGTCCTGATGAGTTTGATTTATGTGCAAGCCGTTACCTTTATACCAATTCCAATCCTTTCATCAAATGACGTTTTTCATAAATGGTTTGCTTTGTTTAAATGCACGACAAGCGCACTCTACACTAAGACAACAACAACAACATTTATTTAAACACGATAAAATTACAGCGGAGCTGATGTGGTCGAGTATTTAAAAATTGAACATTGTTTACAAATGAATAAAAAGCTTAAGAGCGGCCGTCCGTAAATATCGCCCGGGGGTGTGCAAAATGAAAAAATCGAAAATCCCCAAACTTTGTCAAAATACCTAGGTCGATTGGATTTTTATTTACGCGTACGGCGACCGAGTCGGTTCGGAGGCTCAAAACTATATTACTTAAAAATCGTTTAAAAATTAAAGAAGCAAAAAACTCTGCCTCTGAAAATCTTAATAGAAAGAATACAACTTTACCAATAGTTTCGTTGTAAAATTTTCCTATTCGACAGCAAATCTAATATTTTTCGGATTTTTAATAATTTTACTTATTTTACCGATTTTTGACAGACATAAAATTGGCAAATTTCAGACACAAAAATCATAACTTACCTACCGATAGAAAGAGCAAGGTGTCTTCTTCAAATAAATGCAATAAAATTTTTGGGCAATCCTGAGCGAAAATTTTTGAACGCCAAACAAAAGCGACCCTTGAGGTCAAAACACGCCATTTTGTCACGACATTCGAAGGGTAAAAACAACGATACTCCCGGTTAACAAGATACTTATGCGTTTTTCCGTATGGAACTCTTTCCACTTGCCGAGACAATTTTTTTTAAACAGCTATATGCCTTGTTCTGTGTATTTTGTTGGGAACCGTTTGCTTACAAGTGACATTTTGCGTCTTGCAATATCTATACTCTTCGTAAGTAGTCGTGGTCGAAATTCCATTGAAACGTCATTGCTTTTTAGAACTCAAAATAATTCACGCAATTCAACGTGGAATTGTTACTTTCTTAATATGATACTAAGAAACCCTATTTATACACCTACCATTTCCTTAAAGCCTATCAAAGATATGCAACAGCATGCTGTCCTCCCATCCTGTGCCAAATACTTGTATATCACCGAGCGGGAATGTCACGTTTGCGTGACACAGAAGAGGAAGTGCAATGCACTTCAAACCGGAAGCTGACTCAACAATTTAAGTAGCAGGCCTGGGCAGTCACTCAAAACTATCCCAGCCTGAAACTATCCCGTCCTGGGACGTCTCTCTTTTTTTTCTTTATATTTTAGCTGATTAGATCTTTTTTCTAGAGATCCAACGTTGACAACCAGCAGGATCTTCGTCAACAGCTTCTGGAGTTTATCTCTAAAGTTTCGTAGTGGGCAACAAATTCAATAGAAACTTTTATAATTGTAAACAACAATCTTTAAAAAGTCTCTAGCTTATCGCTAGTTAAAAAATGAGAGAAAATAAACTGAACTGACTGATTGAACACACTATGATAACCTTCAACTTCCGGTTTAAGAAATAAACTGCGTAAGGGGTGGACGAAGATCCTGCGTGATGGTTGTCATCGTTTGATCTCTAGAAAAAAAGATCCAATCAGCTAAAATATTGAGAAAATGAAACTGAGACGTCCTAAGACTACTGCATCGTGTATCACTCGAGTATACAACGCCGTCAGCAGTTGTAAAATTGGCAGAAAGCTTTGTCGTTAAGTTTTCAATGATGTTGTCATCCACAAAGAGAACATCTCCAGTGAGACAGCATTCGGCCTTAATCCTTGAACCTGAAACAAGCAGCAGAGGTGTGCAGCGTGCTGCCTTTAATGTACGTATTGTTTTACCATATTTGGAATATTATCACAGGATACCCATCCATTATGGAAATGGAGTCAATCGGGGACATCCATATTTGGAATCTATGATAACCAAGCGATCAAACCGCAAGAAATTGTCTAGTGAAATTTCTCGTGAATTTCCATAGAAAACGTGTTGAAATACCAATTATTTATGAATGTAATTTTAAAATAGTGAAAATATGCCAAAAATGTGCTAACTTTGAGAGTGGCTCACTCTCCGAAAAGCTGCTCAGAATCGAAAAATGTAGCTCAAAATCGTATAAGTTGCTAGAAAGTTACCGAGCAGAATCTTTGTAGGCCTAGATTTAAACTTAGCTGAAACTTTGTTTTTCTTTAGGTTGTGTTTTACACTTAGCGTCAGTAACATCCATAACCCCAATGCCACACCCCGACTGCCTGCCCGCCCTACCTCCGCACGCACACAGGCCGTGAGACACAGTCCCTCGTTAGCTTGGATGCAGGGAGATTTAGCAGTGAGGCCATTCAAATACTCATTCCCAACCGGGTAAATTATTTTGCTTATCAGCTATAACAGGCCAGAGCCTCGATTTTAAGTACTAGGCGACTTTGGAAGACGCGTGCTTCACATATTTGTGGCGGATTAGAATGCCGGCTTGGTCAGAGGCCCTTTGTTTAAAACCTGGCGGGATACTCGCAGCTTAAGGCAAGCATGTGCCTTGTAGCTGTCAACATAATGCTTTTTAATTACATTCTGTCATAATTAACAAAACCCGATCCATGTTTGATTGAAAGTAATTGTACAAATCTGGTACCAGACAAACCTCTTCTAAAAAACAAAAAAACAAAACTAGTTTATGGTTATTTCTCATTAATTTCACTTATCAAAACAAATATTTACTTTTATCAGTTTTCCCGTTTCTTTCAAAACATCCTTCATTTCCGGGCGTTTCACTGTAGTCAATGAAAGACACGTTTTATCGGTCTTCTTTTACGCGGGAATATCAAAATTTCCATCTTTCAAAACGCGATGAACCAAAGCTCGCAGGGTACCAAAGCGCCAAAGGCGCACGATGCAGTCCCGGTGTTTTGTGAGCACCCGTTAAAAACATTGAACGCCAAAACTATCAAGTTTTGGTACAGCGAGAAGCAGCTAGTTTCTGTACCCAAAGGTTAGTGCATGGACAGGCTATCGAAATAAAATAAAAGGAATGCTTGACCAATGGATAGCAGGCCTAACTACGCAAATAAATGTCTCATTGCATCCTTGTCTGCGAGGTTAGTACTAAATTTACACTCTAGAATACATTACACAAACCAATCACTGCAATCAGCAACACTTTGCAAGTAGAATTGGCGACCAGTGTGGGCAATTTTTATTTCTAAGGGACGTCCGTCGCACAAAGGCTTAACGCTCGGGAGTTTTTAGTCAATGACTGACATAAGAGTTTCCTCACAATCGACCCAGTTAGAGTGCGATAATGTGCTCGTGAACTTTTCCTACATACAACTGGCAATAAGCTGAATAATCCGGAAGCTGAACACCATGAATAAGTTACTAAATTACATCGCTCAGGTTCTTTTTCTTTCTTTTCAAGTACCGGAGGGGTTTTTCGTGCATTCTGTTCCGCAGTTTGGCAGTGATATACCGAGCATCAGACAGGTAACGCACAGAAGCCACCATTTTACTCTTCTTCTACCAAACAATTTTCCTGCAATGGTCTTAGTACTGGTCCCGTTGTCGAAACCGTGCACGAGCAAGATACGGTAATCGAGAGTCGAGAATCGAGAATCGATATTGTACCTGGGACAAGAAAAGGTCGCCGTCCAAGGAACAACTGATGCAATGCAAGAGCTTCAAGCTTCTGAGAATCGCCAATTCTGGATTACAAGCAGTGAAGGAACTCCTGAGAAGCGTCCAAATTATAAAGGAAGTTTGGAGGCCAGTCAGCCACGGTGATTGTCGCACCACGCATAAAGTAGAATAAATTTGTTAGCCTGGTCTTGTCTTTGCCACAAATCACGTAAAACTATAAAGAAGGTACCACTATGAACTCTGGAAAATGAAAATGCAATAATACTATGGTTGACGATTGACAGTTTAAAAGAGAGACAACCTTCACCTCAGAATCTTGGGCGCGCCGCCTGTAAGTTCTGAGAGAGAGGGAAACCCCATAATTTGGCCTATTTCAAAAACAAATGACACTACAAAAATAACCTACAATCATAATTTCAAAAGAGAGACTACCATCACCTCAGAAACTTGGGTGCGCCGCCTGTAAGCTCTGAGGGAGAGGGTAGCCCTATAATTAATTTGGCCTATTTCTAAAAGAAATGACACTACAAAAATAACCTACAATAATAATTTGGATAAATGACCGACATTTTAAAAGAGAGACTACCATCACCTCAGAAACTTGGGCGCGCCGCCTGTAAGCTCTGACGGAGAGGGTAGCCGCATAATTTGGCCTATTTCAAAACAAATGACAGTACAAAAATGACCTACAATAATAATTTGGATAAATGACCGACATTTTAAAGGAGAGACTACCATCACCTCAGAATCTTGGGCGCGCCGCCTGTAAGCTCTGAAGGAGAGGGTAGCCCCATAACTTGGCCTATTTCAGAAACAAATGACAATACAAAAATAACCTACAATAACAATTTGGATAAATGACCGACATTTCAAAAGAGAGACTACCATCACCTCAGAATCTTGGGCGCGCCGCCTGTAAGCTCTGAAGGAGAGGGTAGCCCTATAATTAATTTGGCCTATTTCAAAAACAAATGACACTACAAAAATAACCTACAGTTATGATTTCAAAAGAGAGACTACCATCACCTCAGAAACTTGGGCGCGCCACCTGTAAGCTCTGAGGGAGAGGGTAGCCCCATAATTTGGCCTATTTCAAAACAAATGACAGTACAAAGATGACCTACAATAATAATTTGGATAATGACCGACATTTCAAAAGAGAGACTACCATCACCTCAGAATCTTGGGCGCGCCGCCTGTAAGCTCTGAGGGAGAGGGTAGCCCCATAATTTGGCCTATTTCAAAAACAAATGACACTACAAAAATCACCTACAAAAATTGTTTGGATTATGACCGACATTTCAAAAGAGAGACTACCTTCACCTCAGAATCTCGGGCGCGCCACCTGTAAGCTCTGAGGGAAAGGGTAGCCCTATAATTTGGCCTATTAAATAAAAAACAAGTAACAATACAAAGGTAACCTGAAATAATAATTTTTGGATTATGATTGACATTTCAAGGAGGCTAAAGTGACTGATATAGAAACCATACAGTATCTGTGACGTTGATTATACAGATCGCCCAAGCGAACACGAAGATGTTGAAGTGGGAGCTAGAATGTCTGGAGTAATCCAGCGTCTTGGGCTCCTTCCAGCGAATAAGATTTTGGCGGGATTTCGACAGTGCTTGGCGGGCTTTTTGGGGAGTGATTTGTCACTGGAGGCACATCGACGCTTACATCGTCTTAAGCCAGAGAAAAAAGACTTGAATCCTTCGCCGTTTGATCAAAAAGGTCGTCCATTGAATCAGATAATCGGTCTTGCTGTTCCTCAAGGAGATGTGAAGTAGAGCTCGACCTCTCGCATTCGTTTTCTCCGGTGACTATAAAATGTGCATTGTTGACGGCTTTTCTCAAACGTTCAAATAGAGAAGATTTAAAAATTTCTTTGGTCAGGGTCTTTTCCACGAAGAGTTCCTTCCAAACCGGAGAAAGATGTGCCAGCAGAGAGTGTATTCCTAGTTGTGGCTCCACAGTAAAAACTTGATACGCCGACTCGCCGTTTTCGCTTCGAAGGTCACCAATGTTGACACGGCATACTACTCTTGAAAGAAGTTAAATAAGCCATCGGAGCACTATTTTCTTAAAAGAAAGCACTTTAAAAACCATTGAAAGCGTATCAAGCCTATTTGAATCCAAATGCGGCGAGAAAACTGTAGTTATCAATAGCGAAGCCAGCCGCGAAGATCGACTTCCAAATTTTCAATCGACCGTGAAATGAATTTATAATACCCAAATAGTCTGATCAAATTTCGCGTTTCCTTGAGATATCTGGTTCGTTCTATCACAAGTACAAAGTTCCTTGACAGGCAATGTGTCCGGCGCTCTCCAAAGGTGTCTGGAGGAATGCTTAAAACTAATTACGAAAGTAACGCTTGTCTGTTATTGGAAACCGATCTGCGGTTGTTGCTGTGGAGATTAGGCCTCCTACGGCGCGCACTAAAATCGGGGCTCTGGCCTACCAGATTTTCTGTCATTACGCAATAAAATTGGAAGAATACTGTACTGCGGAATGTTAGAAGAGAGTAGGTGGACATGCTTAAAATCTCAGTAATTAGTTACAAGAGCACGATTTTACGCGTTCATCGATCAGCTTTCTTCGTCTTCAAGATCAGCATATCAAACGCAATATTGACACGCCCAACGACACGGGATACCCAACAAAGTTTTATACGGGGAGTCACTGCCCCAGGAATGAACCCATTACCCATTTAGTTTATATACCATTTTTGACTGAAAAGGTCTCCTCTTTCGTGCACTTTCCATTAAAAAATGGTGTCCCTTAAAAAGTCGCTTTTTTTTGCATTCCGCTTTGAATGCACTGTCCCTCTCTTTTTCCTATTTCAAAACTCTATGAATAGAAAAAAAAAAAAACAAGATATTTTCTCTGCATTTTGTTTTTTAATCCTTCCTTTTGGGTCCTTTTCTCAACCTTTCATATATACTTTTGATATTAAAATCCACTACCCTCCAACATACCTGAAACCTTAGCTACCCCTTTCGGGCGGAGCCAGTTGCCGTATACGCTATTATCATAGAGAGTTACCCGGGCGCTCAGCTGGGGTAAACTTCCCAAAAGGCTGTGCTTCTCCTCGAGAAACTGATATTTTCTCTAATGTAAGTCCAGGCGCTGAAAGGTGCTTATTTAGGCATCCTTGAACTGGGCAAAAAAAGAGCTGGCTTTCGAGTGCTTTGAGTCCCGGGGGGCATACCGATAATGCCGATAACTGGCTGTGCGTAAGTCTTTCAAATAAAGCCCAGTTTTCCATATGAAACTTCTTGTTAACAAAAGGTCTCTCATATTTCCAGTGACCACGCCCATAGTAGATCTCGGTCAAAATATTCGTAAAAATTGCAGTTTTTCCTTTCGTTGTCTTTTTGTTTGAAGATTCATGACAAGTTACCTCCGAAATTCGAAAATTACACCTTTAACACATATCTTTTCCTTTGTTTTGTCGTCGATTGCTGAAAAAATCCACGGACTTTGGCGATTACTTTTGGCAAGTTGAGTGTTTTTTAGGAGGCCCACAAAGGGTAAATATAGATCGGATGGGGAAAACTAGGGCATAGCGTCCTAGTGCATACTGGGATCGCTTAGTTACCACCAGATTTAAAAAGTGTATAATATTCCGCGCATTTCGGTACCAAATTGATCAATATTGATCAAGATTTTCCCACGGACCCATGGCCCTGAAGTTTTACTTGGTCGCGTGTTTGCCGCTGTTGGTTCTGTCTTTAATACCGGGTAGCAAAGCAATTGGCAATGCGATGGTACGGGAAGGAACGGTTCCTTCATTCCGACACGAAATGAACAAGTAAATGTGCCTATTAATATTATCGTAGTTCTGTGAACCTTTTATCTCCGTTTCAAGGTTTGGCTCAGGTATTGAGGCCTAGGATGTGAATTGATACAAAGTTACTATACCAGCCGTGAAAACATTGTCAGGTTAAAATCAGATTTGCGTTTTGAGTGAATAATTTCCTATAATATTAACTTGCCGGAATCTACATTTTATTTCTTTCAGCTTTCTCGTTTATACATTATGGCAAGGAGAATGAAAACGCAGAAATCGGTTACGTGTCCGCCATAGCCGCCGTCGTGAAAAGAATTTTTGAAGAATCTGGTGTTGGCGACGTTGTTGTTAACATCCGTATTCTAAACGTCTTCAAAAAGAACATTTCATTACTGCAAACGGCTTATAGACGTGCGAGCAAGACAGGAGAAAAATCACTGGCAAAGTTGTTGAACGGATGGAAAACGGGACCGAAATATCGATTCAAAATTTACTCTAATGAAGTTGCGGTGCAGAAGGTGAAGACACAGTGTGAAATCCTTCGAGGTCAAATAAAGAACCATAGTCACGCCACTCATTTGATCTGTATCTTCGCTAAAACCTTTGTAGTGAATTTTGATCCTTTTCTTCTCTTTATCGAACTCGCGAACTTCAATTTCATACAGATGGTTGCCCTTTCTCATTTTATTTTTAATTGTTAGCTTTAAACCATGGCTAATAACTATGCTTTAAACACTGGCCATACTCGTCTATAAACCTCGCTCCGCCATTTTAAATTTAGTGATGCTGCCTTGAACTGCGCATACGCAGTGAGGGAGAGTCATTAGATCTTTCATGTATGATCACTGAATATCAAATGTTCATCGATGTATGACAAGAGTTTCATATGATGCATTTGGAAGTTAGGAAGTTTTGACCATGGAAACGATGAATTATATTTGCCCAGTATTTAGGTCTGCTACACAAACCTTCAACGGGGGATAAAAAAGAACAAAAAATGAATACAGATGCAAGATGAATTCGAACCTTAGGTCACACATGCGAGATTTGAATACATAGTAATCAGAAAATGGTAGGCTACTAAAAAGATAAATGTCACATACTGAGTTCATTTCGTTGACTTATACCACAAGGTTCTAATGCCATTTTATTTTTGTTTTCTTTCTTTCTTTTTCCTGTCACTCTTCCTGCCGTAAGGATCAGTTTACTCTTTTAATGTCAAAATTTGGTCAGTACTGAAGATGTTACCGATCACAGATCAGTGTTTGGTTTTGGCAACAAAAAGGTCAGTTTCCTTCGCAGGTTATAATTGCACTCATATTTCGTAAACAGCTTCATAACAGGAACAGGTAAAAAGTTACAAAAACAGTCGTGTGCTAACATAAGTCATCTATATTCGTATAAATCTTTAACAATGGGCCACTTGCTTTGGGCTAAGACCTGATCGCGGGGTGTGTACTAATCCAGGCCATAGATGATCTTTGCGACACGTACATGTATCTTCTCCAGCTCATCAAAGAGCGATTTGCCGCAGGAACCCCATACAACTAACCCATAGGTTAAAAACACTTTGAAGTGAAAATCAGCTCTCGCTGTAATTGGTAAGAAATACAAAGACCTGAGAAGATTCAATTTTTGTGAAAAGAACTTAATTAACTCTGTTACATGAATCACACTGAACTTACTTTTGCCGTCTCAGTTCCCGCTTGATGAGTCGGGACCTGCGTCTTGTCCTAGAATGATTAAACAAATAGAATACTCACTAAATGCAATAATTTCAAATAATTTAAAACTGTGGAATTCTTCATGAGGCACTTCCTGTTCTGAAGAAAAAAGGCTCATTCATTCCTTCCTTCCTTGATATTTCTCAGGATATTTACATCCCCTATTCTTCACGAAGCGAGGTTTATTAATTTATAAATTTGTCGCAAACACAGTGTACGGATCGCGCGTGGACGTTAGCGACCATAAACAATAAAACGTCGACCATCTTGGTGTCCAGGACCGATCCTGTGTCGAGTCGAACCTTTTTCTTATGTTAAAGCTTTCTTCTGTTCCAATAAATTTGCATAGATGCTGGTCACGCGAGTGAAAACGCTCTATTCTCACTGGTGCTTTTACGAACAAACACCTCGAATCTCGCAATCATTCAAGCTAAAATTCCCATGTATGCATGAACCGTGTATGAATTGATTATGCAAATTTCCCTGCACAAAATGTATATAAGAAAGCCGTTTTAGTCCTGGCTTTTCTTCTTTTCTTAAAAACGGCCTCCGCACATTCATGGTTAGCGAGGGTGGCGCAGTTTTGAGAGCACTCCCCTTTCATCAATGTTCAAATCCCGGCATCGGCGTCATATTTTGATTGAGTTTGTTGTTGGTTTTCTCCTTTGTTACCAGAGGTTTTCGTCTGAGTACTATTATTGTTCTCCTCAAAAACCAGCATTTCAAAATTCCAATTCAACTAGGAATGGACGACGAAGAACCATTTTCTGCATTTCCTACCTCTTAAACGTTATTCACTATTTATTATTATTATGACGCCCCTCCTTCCTCCTTGCAGTGATGGCTGGCGACGCGTGACAACAAAACAAAAAGTCAAGACGACATGCCAAGTAGGCAAGACGACATATAAAATAGACATCAAGTTATTTTTAACCCGATACCGCTCATTAGTTCAACAAATAGGCAAGATGCATCGCTCGATTTATTTCAATTTTTCAATTTTTATTTCCAAGTAAAAGCTCGACTACCTCAGAATCATCCAAGCTTGTGTCAATTGGTGGTAAAGCTGCTTCTTGATCTGATTCAGCTGAAGGTGAGAGGTCACTGTTGACTGGTAACACTGATAACACAGAATCAAATAACAACTATGCATTAAATCCACTTGTTGGGAAAATACTGTTAAAAAAAAAGACAGCAGTTAAAATTACTCCACTAGCGATAAGGAGTGAAACCTTAGCCAACAGGCCCAGACACCTCTCTGGTGTCCACATTTTTCACTTGCTGACCTAAACATAACGTTCTTAGTACTGTTATAAACAATTATTGGCTGAGGTTTTTGCAATATCCGGAATAATCAAGGTCTCGGTAAGTTCGAGGTAAGTGTTATCATCCGAGCCGAAGGCCGAGACTCGTGATAACAGGCTTACCGAGACGTTGATTAGGATATCACAAAAACCGAATCTAATAATTGTTTTATTACACATCGTTTTGAAGAAAATAACGACAAACACACCGTCGTAAGGAACCTAAATTGATATTGTTGTTGGAAATCATGCATTGCAAATTACCTGTAGGCTCTTAGCTAATGAGAAGACAGATAGTCTGGGTGCGGCTGCACTTGGGGACTTAGAGGGGCTGTGTCACGGCAGTACAGACCATTTTGTTCAATTTTGCCAATTATTCGCCCTCAATCGCTATGGAACTTAGAGTAAGCAAAGAAATTACGTGTAAATGACAAAGTCAGAGATTTGAGACAAACAAATATGTCTCCTGAGCATTATTTTTGAAGTTGCAAACAGCAGAGATAAACTTTGAAAAACTGTTAGGCTGAACAGTTTTCAAAAACCCTAATTTCAATCCGTTTCAGTCTTCTCCAGTTTTGCCCATCCGTGGCATCTGTTGTATCTGTTGTGTTATTTTAACCTTCCTTTAATGTTTTAAGCGGTTATTTTTGTTTCTCCTGGATTTAACGGGCATTTTGTCAAACTTAATTTGGCTGAATTTCTTGACACAGCTCCTTTAACCGAGTTATTTCCAGTTAATTAATTAAAGGTAACTCGTTTGAAAAAAGCTGCCAATACGGCGGGGTTTTCTGCGGCCTTAACCGAGTTCTAACCGGGTTATGCAATTCAAGGAAGGACAAAAGATTTTCTTAACCAGGTTAGGTTTTTTTAAACCACCTCGCGAGGTAGTTAAACGCAGGTTAGAAAAAAAAGTAGATGTTACTCATCTATCCAGTATATTTTGAATGACTGAACTGTCAATTTTGGCCCACTGTCAGCAATTTGATTAATTTCTTTGTTTTAGATCCGATTTCAGTTTTCAATTGTTTTAGTTACACTGCAGTCAACTGCTTACATGGGGCTTCCAAACTCACATGATTTTTCCATTAAAATCCTCTTGCAAATCTGGTAGTTTTCTTCTTCTATAGATGTCTTCAAGCTGATCGCCTCCAAGTTCAGCTTTTTCTTTATATCATCGGTCACAAGGTATCTCTCGGCAATATCATTTAGCTGGCCAGACTGATAGTCACTCCACAAATGCTCAAGGCTCTCTATGGTGGGGCACCGAAATTTTACTTCTAGAGAACCCACACCAACAGATTCCAAGGCCAAGTTATACGTTTTGTGTATATGTTCAATCAGAGCAGACACTCCATCAGGAGTTGCAACCGTGCGATATTTGGTGTAAAAATGTATTTGTTGAGTTAGAAGTTCATGGACGTCTCGTTGCTGTTCTTCGCTAAGGTCTGAATAATGGTGTTTGGTAGTAATGACTGAAAACAAAGAAAATGTCAATGAGAAAGGATAAATTTTCATTGAGGAAAACCTATTTCTCCTGCGCAGCCATTTTTGTCTCGTCAAACAACACTAGAAACATTAATTCTCCAGAAAAGAGAAATTCGAATGATGTATTTCGTAGAGAAACACTACTGAACACTATCGTACAATTTCCCCTAAACGTGCTACCAACAACTTTCTTTATTAGTCTGTGTCAATTTTAATGCGCGTTGGTATCAAAACCAATAATGCACCACTTGCATTCATTTGAGAAGTCAGAGTTTCATTCCTGCATTACATTATCAGCTACCTCCGGAATGTTTTACGTTAAACGCTCCCTCTTTCGACTTAAGGCAAAGATACCAGGTCACATGACAAATCTACCAAGAAAACATTTAAAAAGGACATTTATCGCGGGAAGCGATGGTGATTATATACTGCGTAGGTGGCAACTTTTTGGTGTAGGGGTGGGGGGAGGGTTTGGCGAGCGCAAGGCGAAAGGAGGGGAACATGGGGGAACGGCAAAGAACGTCCCAAAGAAATCGCCGGTTACACAGGCAAGACATGTAAAACCCCATGATAATATATCTTTGTTTAAAGTTAGTTACCTCAGTTCCAAACTTAAAGCACTGTAATTACAATTTTTGCATCAGGTAATTACTATTTATAAACTATCTATAAATTTTTGAACACCTTGCGTTTAGTATCATGTTAAGTCTATTATAAGATATTTGATCCTTGAGATCAGCTGAAACCAAATCTGAGTTGGGTGAACTGCATGCATTGATTGTTTGGTAAAATCTGAGTAAAACGATTTCTTTTACAGTTAACTAACTACTATGGATAAGTTTTTCGGTCAGTTCTTCCAGTTATCCTCTATCGTTCAAGTTCCAATTTAGAGCGCTTGTAATAAATTTATTCTTGTGAGCTGTTCATGCCACCTTAGCCTTTTGAAACGTGATCAATACACAATTTACGCTAAAGAAAAAGAAACCAAGACATTGGTGTAATTAATCAACCATTTCTAGGATAAAAGGTGTTTGCTCTAGCTTTCTCAAAGTCGTTGCTTTGGTAACGCCAGTTGACCAAATCTGTCCAGGTGGCCCTATAGTTGTCCCTTACCAAGTTATCCTCCTGTTGATGTATGTGTTGTGGTTCAATTTTATCCTTGGTTTAAAATTTATTTCCCTATGTTGTTAACTCATCATCATACATTACTAGACCCTAAAACAAAGGAAAATAAAATTTCAACCAAGGATAAAGTTGAACCACAATTTATACTTTGATAAAACCTAGTTCGGTTATCCGGTGCCATTTTTTTCGATTCGGTGTGAATGTATCAAAGGCGTGCCTGAAACAAATGGCTAGGTTAATGAAAGGAAATCATTAAAATAAATCCGTTTGCTTTCTTGTAAAAGTAAAAGGCGTTCGTCAAAATAGTCTTCGGCAATTTGAGGTTGAAATTTGTTATCATGAACTATCTAACAGGACTTTTTGTTTCACTGAATTGCAAGTGTCAATGGTCAAACGGAGGTCTTTCTAGCCAAAGATAGGCTTGATCAGCTATCTAAGTACGTAAAGAGGTCCACATGACCAGGATCATTGCAGGGTGCTCATCGAATAGATGTATGAATAACGACAGCTTAAAACGAGGATCCGTAATTTACAGTACGGACCGAAAAAACGAGGCTAATAAGATGTTTATTATATGTCTTCTTCCAGTTTCGGGGACCGGAAACAAGTACAGGACGCGCGATTTGACAATCATTTGACAGGCGTCAAGAAAGAAAGTTTTTATTGGCTCACAAAAACAATAGCAAACAACAAAGGGTTTCCGAGAAAGTGAAAACAAATTCCCCGAGTTGAAAAAGTTTATTTGGTCAAAACTAAGAGCGCTGTAAGTTTTAGGTCTTTAATATAACGCTGGAGTATTTTGGAAACCGGGCACTGTGTCTTTCTCGAAGTCGTTTCCATCTTTCCTCCGTTGGTCCTTGTAAAAAAATATAACACTGCAAAAGGCAAAGAAGCTTTTCAAGGTAAGTTTGTTGTCATTGTCGAAGATTCACTCGTTAATTTTTTTGGGAAAACCTCTCGAATTTCTGCCAGTTCATTCTCGTCTTCAAGCGTGATCTGCGTTAAAATTTTCAAAAAAGGACCATATTTTCTTCCACGGAAAGGTTACGATTCAGTTTCTACATCAGCTTCGTTCTCGTTCAAACAAAGCTAGGTTAAAATCTGGAAAGGCAAAGTCAACATCCCAGTCCTCAGGGTTTACAGACATAGTTTAAGTATATTTGGTCAAAACTAAGAGCACTGTACTGAAAAATTCACTCGCCAGTGTGACGCTGGAGTCTTGAAAACTGGACATTATGTCTGGCTCGGAGTGGCTTCTATCTTTCTTTCCTTGGTCTTTGGAAAAACACTGCAAATGACAAAGAAGCTCGTCAAGATGATCGGATGCAGGCATGTTTGTTATCATATTTGTCGAAGGAATTACTCATTTTCTCTTAGGCAAAACATCTCAAATCTCTGGCAGTCCATTTTCGTCTTCTTAACTGTGTACTACGATAAAATTTTCAAACTCGAGATTCAAACACTGACTAGAATCCTCTTCAAAAACATTACGAGTTAGTTTCCTTATCGCCTTCGCTCACAAATAAACACATGGTTTAAAATGTTGAGGGACAAAGTCAAAATCTAAGTCCTCAAGGTTGATAGACGTCTTGTAACTTAATTTTAACCTTTTTTTCCGCGGTAAACAGGGTTAACCGCGGTTAGAGCTCCGAAATGAGAATTTTCTTTGAAATTTTGGTCCGTATAGCAAGTTACGGACCGCAAATTGACCAATCACATGGCGAAAACAGACTCAGCCATATAATAACATACCTTATAAAAGGTGCAGCGGCATGAAACAAATATTAATATCTATCCTTTACAATTTGCAGCAATCCGTCTACAGACAACAGCGACTTTGTCCTCTTAATTTTGGACAAGCCCCTTGTAGGCTTTGCAATTTTTGTTTAGACATCGTGGACACCTTCGCCCCAACAGAATCAAGGCAAACTTAATTTTCCTATAACTTTCAGGACATTTACCACTTGATAATATATAGATTTAGCCAGGGCTAAAAGCGAAGCTCCCGTTAATAAATTCATAATTTAAATCAAACAATAAACCTGTAATCCACAGATCAGGGCACATTCATTTGACTTTTGAGGCAAAGGCTGAGTGATTTTAGAGAAAAATCAGAATTTGACCGTCCAAGAGTGAAACAAATTTTACATCAAGTTATTTGTACACCGAAAAATAGCAATCATGTTCGATCACAGTAGATTAGGCCTGGAAAACAAATAGACCTATTCGTGTATTGTATTTGCATTAGCTGTAGCATCATAATGTGGCATTCGCCAGTCTCTCCAACATTGCTCCGTTAGAGAGACTATGGATAATTGGACAACCCCGAAATATAATTTTAAGAAACACATGCGCCACGATAGTCCTTGGTGGCAGCCAATTTACACGTTTAGTTTACTAGTAAATCTTGGCGACGAATCTGGTGGCGTGTAAACCAGCCTTTTAAACATACTTTTTCTCATCACGTCTCAAGTAAACAGTACACAGACCTTGGACAGAATTTTTCTTTTTTGCTCTATTTAAACCTATAATTCTGCAGTTTTTCACAATTTTCCAAGAGAATTTGCACTCATTCAATATCCACGACAATCAAAGCACGTGCTTCCTTTGCACAACACATTATAGCATTGAATTATAAAACGTTTTCTGTTAGAAAAATCTGGTCCTATGCGGGGTAATAATTATGGGCTTGTAATGAAAACGATAAAAAAAAATTCCCAAAATCACTTTTCGGCCAGCCGGACGGGTTCTCACTTTTGACAGGCACCAAATTTGCAGTGCGATTAATAGAGTTACCATTTACGCTTCAACATGATAGAGAAATTAGTATGTCTAGGTTTTATTTCCCTTTATTCATTAAACTGTGTATGATTTTGTTATGTGTAATCTTTAAAAGCGAGTGATATTTACGCGCGGCGTTTTGAGTATTCCTACATGCGATGTTTATGTTCGACTGGAAACAACCGGTGCAGCGATGAAAATTGCGAGAGGGACTATTAACAATCAATAAAATAAGATTAATTCGGTGAAACATGTACAGAGACAATAATTTTAATTCACGAAGAAAAGTATTGAGAGTAAAGTGTCTCAGAAAATCATGAGTCAGGCAAGCATAAGCTTATTTATGTTTTAAGCCGGCTTTCCGGTGTTCGCTCTTTTTCAAGATGAACTCGAGCCAAGAAAATCGCTCAGAGCTTTCTGTTTACAGCCAAAATCATAACTAAATAATCTTCGGAACCTTTTCTTTGAATTTGCGGGTCAAAAAATGTCTAAAGGCTTTTTAAACCTGATACTATTGTAGGTTAGATCATTGCTCGTGTTTTAACTTAAGCCGCATAAACCATACGCTCGACTTCAGGAAACCGAGAAAAAAAACACATAAAAAAACAATAATGGCTCAGGCTTACCAGTCGAGATGCTGCTTCTGAAGGTCATCAAGTGTTCCAGAATCGCTTGAGACTTTTCAACGTTCTTACGCCTCAAGCAAGGGCAAGTGAGTAAGCTCATTTTTGAAAACGATGCCATCCGAAATCGGATTTCCAATGACTTGGACAAGCGGTGCATTTGTCAACAAAAAGCGGAATAAACAAACCAGCCACGAATTACAGAACAATCTTGATAGCAGCTGTATTTCATTTTGTACACCAAGTAGAAAAAGACAGTTTAAAACATCACAAGATGACACAAAACTCTCTCAGCTCCAGCTATCAGTAAGCAAGTTTCCAGACGCTGCAAAAATTTTCCGCATAAACTCACCTGTCAAATTTTGACCAATCAGAATATAAAAATTGGAGGTAGAGGGTGATCAAAGCGTGACAGTGAGAAAAGTCAAAAGAGATTGCCTTCCCTGCATGTAAATGTAAAAGCCGGTTGAATTTTCGTGTCCGAGATCAGTTCGAAATCAACATTTTAAAAGTGCGGCTCATGAAACACGACTTATTTCATATGCATTTTAAAAAAATTAAACTTGAGCCTGCGAGCATTTGAAAAGTAGCAACTTGTCAGCGAATACCTTCAAAATATTACTCGAACTCAGAGGGTCGATACCTGAGCCCGCGATACGGTCAGGCGATACTGGTCAGCAGAAGTACTGTTTTGACAGCTGTCAATTAAACAAAACATGGATGTACAATATCAGGTTGCAGGCTCCCAAACTAGCTAGAAAGTGTGGGATTAAACATTGGTATGCCTGTGGTGCGGACGGACGGAAGGTCGGGTGGTCGGTGTACGGTCACGTGATTGCCGAATTTTCTAGGATGGATAGATTTTCTATAAAGCTATGGGGCTTCGAATTGAGCCCGTGATCAAATAAAACATCAGCGCAAAACTTTAAACACTACGTGACCTCAATAGATAAAAAATGGGCCCGCGATCCACTCAGGTGATGATGGTCAGCGTATACTCTAGTTTGACAGCTGTAAATTAACCTTCATTAGAATGGCGAATATTCGAATTAACAGAGTACGAGAGTGAGTAGGACATTTCCGTCCGGCATGTAGTGGAAAATGCCAGATCGTGTACCTGAGCGAACCTGAGCCCTCGTTATTAGTTTTCTGATAGCGCTCTGCACATGTCCCATTTTGACAGCTGTCAATTGACCTTAATTTGGCCTGCCAATGTAACTTTAAACGACTATCAGCCAACTGACAGCCTTTCCCGGCGTAGTTTCGTTTTTATGTTGAATTGGTAAGTGTGACATATTATATCAGTTTATATATAGGGACAAAACGACTGGTCTTTTATCTGAGCCCGCGAGACGGTCATGTGATAATTGTCAGCGGATGTCTGATTTTGACAGCTGTTAATCTAATCGTACTCATACGGATGGCTTACATAACTAAGAGGCTAGTCAAGTTGTGCAAGATCTATTGTGACATTTGACATCGGCTAACATGAAGTGTGTGTACGGACGGGCGTACGCTACGTCATAACCAAATTTTCTGGGATGGATAGTTTACCTAATTTTCTTACGCATGGTGCTCCGCCATCAAAACCTATTTGGCATTGAGCAGCTTAAAAAGTTAAATTTTGGCTATTGAAAAAATGCTATAAAGACTGGTCATTAATATGTACAAGAGAAAGTGCTATAAGAAGATGATTTATATATATAGTCCATTAAAAGAATTGCCTATTTTATCATAGAAAAGACATGTTACTATAAGCTAAGACCCGCCGGCTTCGTTAAATATACCGTTTAGGATCGAGTGAACTCTTTTTCCTTTTTCTATACCCGGGGAAAAGCATTTACTAGGTCTTTATTAATCCGTATCAATTATAATGCGTGATGGTATCAATAACAATAATGCACCACTTATATCTATTTAAGAAACATCAAAGATTATTACATACGACACACGATCACTTAGTGATCTACCTCAGGAATGTTTCATGTTGAAAGCTCTAGACTGGAGTCAAAAAACATCCCCATTTCATAAGTAGGTTGAGTATGATCGCCCGGGTGAACGTAGTCCGTGAATAGGACTGTTGTTGTTAACAGTGACTGACGTTTCGACAACCTGTGTGGTAGCCATTTTCAGAGTCAATTGATGTTGTTTTACTACCCAGCATCTGCTGGCAACATCATACGTAAGCAACCTTTAGTTAGTCACTGTAATGTTAAGCTCTAACAAACTGAGTCAGTCATGTGCTAGAAAACAGTCATGGGATAAATATGTCTGCATTCGGCAGAAGCAACCACATCGGAGTGTATGCAGTTTATAGTGAAGAAGCAAAATGCAACAAACCGAATACAGAATTTTTTTTTAAGTCACCAGGCGTACTAAACATTTAGATGGGAAAACAGGAAATTCTGGTTAGAAAATTAAATAGTTCCAGTCATTCCTTTTGGGAAGCTTCAGAAAATATGGGCTGTGATTTGAAGAGATGTTTAGATGTTTAGAGATGTTTCTGTTTATTTGATTTGCATATATGGTGCAGCGATTCGTTCTTCCCCCACGTCAAATTTTATAGTTTTATGCTTATGCACAAGATTTCCATCTGGGTGGTTTGTGTAAATTGTCAGAACCACAGGTATCTGAAGATCTTATCAGGGTCCTTGATACCAAGCAAGCTACTGGCGAGGTAAATACTGAAATAAAGTAAATTTGTTGTTATTGTTGTAACTTCATTTCAGTCTTCATCGTTTGAGTATTTATAAAATCTAGTTCTTATTTTTTTTGTATTCGCCAGCCCAAGGTAAAATCTGGTATTGAATCGGAGCTGCCAGCTGCAATGAGCAAAGTATTGAACTGCTACGGTGCAAACGGTAACAAATCTTGAAGGGAAAAAGTGCCTCTGAGAAAACCGACCCTTAAGATGTACTAGTGGGCAAAAACAAGAAAGCAAATTACATTAGCCCATACCTGGGTCGCAATCAGATTCTGACTTTTTGCGCTTACGTCTATTGTGTGAATGGGAGACTATGGATATTTCCGTTTGACTTCCTGATGCAGGACCGGCTTTCTTTTCACGGTCACTACCAAGAGAAGCTTCTGAATTAAGATGCTCGTCAACAGAAGGGTTTGTTCTTGGCTTGCTGTCAATTTTCATAGAAGGCTCTGTGAATACAAGCCAAACAATGTGTTCCAGTTGGGATAATTTCAATGAAAGGTTCAGTCACTTCCAAGCGCGCCCATCCCTCCACTGTAGCCTATGTATAGACGCCCCCCTCCCCTAGGAAGAAATCGACGAGAGAAATCACAGAAGTCTCTCCCCGATTGTTTCTGAAGTGAGGGGGGCGACAGTACACAGCTGGCTATCCAGGACGCTTGTAAGGCATTTATCTCGTTGTAGCTTTTAGAGAGGGGGCATTTTTCAACGACAGGTGGGGAATTTGTCATTGTTGAATTTCCCAATTTCCTCTACTTGTAATTATTGCAAATAAATAAGAAAGGAGCAACTCTAGATTCGTTAAAGATCAGTGAAATGTCCCTCATGATTCTCTCATGCGTGAATGTTCCTTTTTTGGCGGGCTCATTTGGTAAAAAAGAAGCACTTTTCTAGGTAAAATCATGCTCATAGGGAGATGACAGGTTTCTACTAAATGAATTTTATTTCGCTTTGCAAAAATACTCTTAAACATAATCGGGCACTGATTCCATTGAGATAGCTTCCACGATTTATGAAAACCGGGTTAGCAATATTTTGTAATTCTTCTCAAATTCTCTTGTATTATCTTGCTTATTGTGTTTTTTGCTGATGTCGCACCTTTTTATTGGTTATTTCGTGGTTAGGGACTTTTGTAAAAGTGGCTGTGGCTGAATTTCACGATTATGAGTTCTTTAATAAGCCTCCTCCCCTCCCTCCTTTTTTGTGTGAAGCCAGTGCGCGTCTAACGCTGGTTTCGGTGCCGCTTACATTAGCAGTTTACATTTCGTTTTTGGTCACCTTAAGAAAAGTTTCCCAGAGAGCATTATGTAAAGCTCTGAGATGGGACAAAGTTGATACGATTCGCAGAGTCTGCATCGTCCAATATAGTACGTATTCTCGTTCCATTAGGCTAAGAGGATCAATTACCGGGCTGAAACAGAAAGGTGGGATATTGCTCGCTTTTCTTGGGTGACCACTAAGTCTTGGCCTCGGAAACAAAGTTCTAGGGTCAAATCTATTGGGCGAGAGCACAATTGCAGGTTAACTTTGGCCTGGGCCAGGATTTTTTTTTCTAGGCGGTGTGAAAGCAGAGTCTATGCTGGTCTGCCAACCGTGTGACTGTACACCTGGGAACTTGACTAACACGAGTATAAGAGAAATGTGTAGAGGTCTTTATCTGCCAAAGCTGAGTTTTTCCGAGTCATTTAAATTCAATTTATTTTAATGATTCATAAGAACAATCCTTCATAGACAACAGGCGTTACACTAATTATAATGTCTACGAACATATACCTTCATGGTCCTCAATCATGCCTTCCGCCTTCTGAGAAGCGTCGCACTTTGTTTCTAAGGAGCTCTGGACCTTTGGATAATCATCTGTTGCAACAAAATGGACGAAAAAATAATCGGTTCCTGAAACCAGGCTGTTGCAGTGATTATTTATGAATGGCTTCAGTCATATATAGCTGTATGTGAAATGCTGCAAATAAAGCCCATGACCGCTCTTCATAGACCATTCCCCTGCAAAAGGCAATGTACCTGAAGAAATTACAAACGTTACAGTTTTCCTAATATCAGTTTAAGGTACAGAAACGTATTCACGTGCGATATTATTAAGATTTCAGGGAAACATTTTTGTTTGTTTTCGTTTTTCTATTATTTTCTGACAATGTATCATTGAAGAAAAAGAAAACTGACATTCCTACCATGAGCCAAGGTGATCATCTTGTCAATTAACTCTTTAATCTGTTTGGCCCAGTTGTATTTCCTGCCATAGGAATCACGCAAGGTCACCGCCTCCTCAAGTCGACATTCCCTGTCCTTGGACCAGATATTCTGAATGGCTACGGTCCAGTTCGCAGGGTTCTCTGAGTCAATCACAAATGATGAACCAAAAGCTACATTACTCAGTGCTTCTCCAAAACCAGAGTTGCGACTAATGAGCACAGGGAGACCAGCTGACATTGCCTCCAGTCCTGTTAGTCCAAAGCCCTCTGTTCTCGAAGGCATGACTACAAGATCCACTTCTTGGAATAAGCGCTTCAACCTATCACGGTCTTGAACAAATCCTCTTACTCTCAGTCGACTTGCAGGAACACCACACTCAATTAACTGCTTTGCTATTTCTTCGTATTGTCCATACGCTGCCCCAACAAACACAAGAAGAGTATCTTGTAATTCAGCAATCGCTTTCCCGGCGATGTCAAATCCTTTTAATTTGAAGTCTTCTACATCTCCACCACCAAACACCAAGACTCTCCGTTGAGGCCTGTCGCTTGGGCTGACTTGCTTTACAGTCTCAAACTCTTCAAATACTCCAGGAGTGAGGTCAAAGACATTACCATCTTTATTACAACCACAAAGATATGAGCGAAAGGCCTCACTCAGCTTGGGTCCCACACCCACCACATGGTCAGCCATTTCACACAGTTCTACTTCGGTCTTGTGCTTTTCTTCACCCTTTGAAATTGGGCTAGGATAGGTTTTAAACATCCCAAGTTCCTCAGGGTCTGTGTGTACCACTTGAACCCATTTGCATGTTTTATATTTCTTAATGACCTGCGCTTGTTTACCGAGTTTAACTCCATGACCAACAACAATGTCGATTTGCAAATCTTCTGGTGGAAAGCAAAGCCAATCCAGCTGTTCAAAACCAGGCAGTGGCGTTGCCTCTACGATCTTTACTTTGTAATCAAGAGCTTCTTTTTTGTCCTTTAGACTGCATTGTGGTAAAAGGAAAGTGATTTCCACTTCAGGGAACTTGGCTAACTGAATGGCTAATTCTCTGTTTATAGTAGAAAGCCCCCCATTACTTGATCTCCATTCAGATGCTAAAATAGTGACTTTCACTTTGCGAGATCCATGCACTCGGTCATCATGCGTTTGAGCATTCTGTAAAGCAGATGCCATGTTCAGACATCAACCTCGTCCAACATCTAAAATAAAAATTAATAGTAAAGGCTCAATTACAACTACTACAATGGAGAATAGAGAAACTACTACAGTAGAAAAAAGAGAATCAATAACAACTACTACTGGGAAGAAGGTAAAACGCTCAATGGATGGTAAAACCCAGTTAAAATGTTTCACTGGGTGGTACCGTTTGAGTTCTATCAGTCTAAACACCCTTTCAGAACATTAAAAGGTAGTGGATCACTTGACCGTACCCGGCAGAATGCATTTTCTAACCGCCGTTGCTTTCTACTAGTCTCCCCTTCTAGAGGGAAGGGGAGGTAGTAAAGAGACGAAGAATGCCTTTCTGTGTCAGGCCTTTCTCCTTCTTTCCTCGCCCCACTGTTTCGTCTTAATTTCCCCTTACCTCTTAGTAAAACCTGAAACTCAGGTTAGCGTGTGTGTGTTCTCTTGTTTTCTTTAAGAATCTAGCACAAAAACCAAGCGTGAAACGACTGAAACTAATTCATAGCTGCCAGCTCGTTTTCCTTAACATCAACAAACGAGGTGCTTTTCATGCTTGTCTGTTTTTGATCGTGAAACAAATGAGATAAACAATAACATAACAATAACATTTATTGTTTGTATTGCGCCTTTTCTATAAAATTTTCGAAAGCGCATCACAATAGTAATTTATAACTAAATTTTACAAATCTTTCTATCAAAAATCATAAAAATATTTACATTAAATGAATTAAAGATAATTACAAATATAGATATAGATATACTAAGATAACTGAAATGATTCCTTAAATAAAAATGTCTTCATTAAAATGTTAAAAGATTCTAAGTTCGTTGCTTCGCGCGCGGACCTTGGCAGCTTATTCCTTAGGAAAGGAGCAGCTATGGTTTTCGCACTTGGTCTTTCCAACAAACGACCATTGTCGTTGCGCCTCAAATTGTAGGACGAAGGCTGTTGAATACTAATTAAGTCTGAAAGGTCCTTAGGTGATAGGCCATGCAAAAGTTTAAAAGTTATCAAGAGTATCTTATAATGTATCCTGGAGCGCACTGGTAACCAATGTAATTCTGCGAGTAGAGGTGTTATATGACAGAACTTGTGCGCTCGATGTATAAGTCTTGCACTCGCATTCATAACACGCTGCAATTTCATAGTCTGATATTCCTGGATTCCATATAGAAGGCTATTAAAATAATCCAATCTACTGCTGATAAAAGCATGGACTAATTTCTCAGTTGATTTTCTGGATAAATATTTCCTAATATGACGTATATTATATAAAAAATAGAAAGCGCTGCTACAAGTCTTTGTAATGTGAGTTCCCATATCTAGATGCGTATCGAACCATGTGCCTAAATTGCGCGCAGAGACTACCGGAGAGACTTCAGTCTGCCCAATCTTGATGCTTTGGATTGAAACTTTCGAGAGCTGCTGACGAGTAACTATAATCAGGAACTCATTCTTGTTATCATTGAGCATCAGCTGATCCTCCCTCATCCATGCTCGGACATCGCAGATACACTTCTGCATGGCTGATACAGCTTCGACTTCACTGGAAGAGTCAGAAGGCTTAAATGACACTACGACTGTGTATCGTCGGCATAAGTATGAACGGAGGACAGATGGTGTTTTAGAATCTGGAACAGCTTACTCTCGTAGATGGTAAATAAAAGCGGACCCAGGCACGACCCTTGAGGAACTCCACACTTCAAATCAAACGGCTTTGAGAGAGTTCCATTGATAGACACTTGCTGTGATCTGCCCTTAAGGTAACTCTCAAACCATGAAAGTACTTTCCTCCGCAATCCAATTGTTGACCTCAATCGTTCCAGAAGGATCTCATGTTCGACGGAGTCGAATGCAGAGCTTAAGTCGAGAAGCACCAGCAGCGTAACTTGACCTTTATCCATCGCCATTAGGAGATCGTTCTTCACCTTGAGTAGGGCGGTCTCAGTGCTATGATGTTGGCGGTAAGCACTTTGCAATTCTGGAAACAAGCCATTGACTAGCATGTTCTCCTGTAATTGTACAGCAACCGCTTTGTCTGTGAGTTTTGACGTCAACTGTAAATTACTCACAGGCCGAAAGTTCTTGTTTATCAATTGAAGACCAGATTTTTTGAGCAGAGGATGTACTACTGCCCTTTTCCAGTCATCTGCAAAGTAACCATGCTTTAGTGATACGTTCACCATCATACTAATCACTGGAAGTAACTCCTCTATGCAAACCAACAAGATGGATGACGGAAGAGGGTCCAAAGTACATGTCTTCATAGAAGCCACAGCCATCTTCCTTACAGCCTCTTCGGAGAGAGGCTGAGACTCTGATAGCGTGACAACGTCATCACTGAAACAGATTACGTAACTTAACGTCACACGGGGGATCAAATGTCCCAGAATTCACTGAGAATCGCTTATGAATGTGGTACATAGCTTTTCTTTCCGATTTCTTTATCGCATATCCAAGTGATTTACAAGTGGATGCTATTGATTGAAACCCTCTCACTCTCAAAAGTTAAAAAGTCAAAATTCAACTAGACTGTTCTCTAGCGTTCAGATCTTCGCCCCCTTTTTTCATACGCTCTCCATTTTACGTCCCTCTCCACTACCTGAACGCCTTTAACAGAATGTTACTCAATAACACGTGGGGGGTATCACTGAACAGGGTATGGATTGTTTTAAAAACAGGGTATACAATCTGACTATTTAGCGCCTTGAAATGGGTGTCTCTATGGACTGCAAGCCAGAACCTAAAGGTTAGAAATGAGTGGTAAAATTTGTGGTACAAAAAAATTTTTCTGAAAAAAAAAGGTAAAATCGAATAAATAGAAAAGGCGTAAAAGGTGAACCAAACCTTTTGCCCACTTTCCTTCGAGAAAGTCATATCATACCATAAACTGCAGCTTATAAGTCGTCCCCCCAGTTATAGGTCCATCCCGGGGGGGAACTTCCTAATAACAGGCTAATGGGAGTGTGCCGCTGGATGGGGTCACATTTTCACGACTGGATTGACTATAATGGGGTTGTAATTTTCAATACAGTTACCAGAGTGGGTTCGCACATTTTCGGCATTTTGGGGGTCAGAAAATTCACATTGGTAGGGATTTCAATGGGAAGATTTTTACTGCATTTAGTCTAACAAATATGTCAAATTATTTCAGGAAGACCTAGATAAAAGGCTTTATAAGGCAGATGCACAAACAGAAGATGACTAAGTTGGGATTGCGAAAATTACATTTGCCCAAAAATGACTATGATGGGGTCTATAACTGGCCAAAAAAATAGACCTTAATGGGGTTGGGGTTCGGAAAGGCCAGCGGCACATACCCAGCAAAAATTATCCCAAGTAACCCCCGGGAGGCCTATCTACCTGTAATAAAAAATACCCCCGATTTTAAGCCCCCGCATATAAGCACCCCTTCTAACTTTTCCTGAAAAACGGTCGACTCCCGATAACTCGAACCTTCTAGGGAAATCAAAAATAGTTAGAGTTAATATGGGGAGTTCAAAGCAAACAACCGGAAATAAGGAAATAAGCAAATGGAAGGGGAGGGAATTCAAGTATCATGCACACTTTTCTTAAATCAGTGGCAGCGCAACAGATATACCGGTAGACTGATGTTTTGAAAAAGGAATCAAGCAGCAACGGCTTGATGCTAAAAGGTAAAGACAAAGAATACCACCCTGCAAGCAGCATGGCTTTTAGACGGTTTATGAAGTCATTCGCGTGGCTTGTCTGTCGCGTAGTTGGTTTGTCTACGCCCCGTGAGAAACCTCTGCTGCAAGCCGCTTGTGATTTCCGCTGAGCATGCTCTTTAGACACCTCCAGAATCTTGGAAGTAGACACGTGATTAACAGGTTTAAAAACCGGTTTTGCCCACTTGCACAACTCACGCGCATTAATTTTTGATCGATTTGCTATGTAAACTGGAGCCCGCGTAAGACTTTCTCCCGTTTCTCATCGCGTTTCATCGAAGCGAATCGAAGACTTTCAAATCACTTCCAAAATCAAGTTTTTGACTTCTTATCAGTCCGTGGCGTTGGTGAAGATGCCTCCGTAAGTTTAGTAACAGGTCACGGGAACTTCATATTTATTCCTTCGCGCTGCTCCATCAGTTTCGAAACAACTTGGAACTCGATCACAGTCCTGTAAAATCCGGTATTTCTGTCGATCTTCAATAACTAAGCGCGTTGTCTCACTTTGGTAGCCAGGTAAGACGGTTAAAATGAGCTCCAACCTTTATTTATGTAAAGGTGAAACCTTCAACTGCATTGTTTTGTAGCGGCAAAAATCACTGGGGCAGAATCTGTTTGTGCAACCTTTTGTTATTTTATAGTAAAAAAGGTAAGCTTAGTGAAGTTACTGTTTGCATCGTCGGTAGCGATATATCTCTAAATATGTACATGGGTCCTAAATAAACGTTGTACTTCTTTATACCTGCGTTATATTGTCACCCTTTCGTTCGAGAAGTGGTTAATTTTAAACGATTATGATCGATAGATCAGATAGATTTTGACACTTTGAGTTGGCTTTTTTTTACCGCTTTCTCCGCAAGTTAACACTCTAGAAATAATTTAGTGAAAGAGCTCGTAATTAAAAGCGGTAGAGTTCCCCCTAAAAAATTCCTCAGATGGTCTCAGTCTGATGATATTTTAAAATAGTTTTGATGAAGCGATTTTCAAAATCATCTATGTTTCGTCGTCCGGAAATATTAAAGACCACTTTTCCGGAAATGGGACGAGTTCAGTAAAAGTAGTGAGTAGTTTTTGACGGCATTGTATTTCATTCAGGTGCTAAATTTACGTCATTTCTCTATAGATGGTTTTCACAGTGACGTCATCAAATTTTAAAGTCAAAATAGCGAGGTTTTACGAATTCTTATATACACAAGGTTGAAGATAAACAAAAACTAAATCTTTGTACAAGTTTCCATTTCCGTAGCATGTTTCATTCCGAAAATACAGCAATTTGAACTTCCGAGTTTTCTCAGTGCGTG